TTTTTACTTGCTCCCAAGCAGCAATTACAACACCTGGCTTGTCAAGCAGCAATTACAACACCTGGCTTGTCAAGCAGCAATTTACCATCAAACGGTGCAAAACCAAACAATCAACTTAAAATCAACCATTTCTTGGATATATACTAAGAAATTTACCTCAGACTACTTTTGTCTACAGCAGATCTTGGTCGATATTCAAAAAGATGTAGGTCAGCAGACCTGATCTTCCTCTCCTTCACACAAACATATACTGACATATATGAGCACACACACACACATTCCCACACAGAGGGAGAGAGAGAGAGAGAGAATACATACATTAACATATATTTATGGTAATCCATATTCAGTACATTCACTGAAGGAAATTGCTCCTGAAGATAGGGGTCCTAATGGAGCAATGATGCGCAATACAAGACTCTTAATGTCTATTAGCCTCCCTTGCTCAAGCCTACCTCACCTTCACGTGGTGGACCCTGTTCTTCCCAGCAATCCAGTTGAAGGTTGGGGTCTCAACCCCCAGCAGGAAACTGGATGGGACAACAAACGAGGTAAAGGCGACAGACTAATGGATGAGCCTACTCTACTCGAGTATGATCACAGTCTACCCTAGCAAAACAAGGTGCTGAAGTCGGAGGCAACCAGCCAAGAGGCGCACCACAGCAATCAGGATGCCACGCACACACGCCATGGAAATATGTCTAAATCAGCAAAATGTTATGGTGCTCGCCCTGTGATGGACTCTCAGGCAGGAGCAGTGCCGGGCCCTCTGCCTCGAAGAGGCCCAACCCAAATTACTGGAGGTCCTTCTGAAATGTCCTGTGGAGCCAGGGGACGTGAGAATAGAGCATCTGGCCGAACTAAGAAAGGAGTCAAATTAATGCACTGGAATAACTAACGACAGTGAAATTTATACAAGAGACAAAACTGCTGATATAGACAACTTATTTCAGGCGAACGAAAGAAGAAGAAGCAGCTCCTGAAGATGATGGGAACCCATTTGGCAAGTGAAGAAAAAAATTATGGTGACTCGCTTTACTAGCGACATCGTTAATAAGACAATGGTTTTACTGCCTCAGCCACCCAGCGTCATGTGGTATTGCCATTCCCCTTGACTATAAATGATCACATGATGTGTTATTGTCATTTTTCTAGACTATCAATGATCACATGATGTGTTATTGTTATTTTTCTAGACTATCAATGATCACATGATGTGTTATTGTCATTTTTCTAGACTATCAATGATCACATGATGTGTTATTGTCATTTTTCTAGACTATCAATGATCACATGATGTGTTAGTGTCATTTTTCTAGACTATCAATGATCACATGATGTGTTTTTGTAATTTTTCTAGACTATCAATGATCACATGATGTGTTTTTGTCATTTTTCTAGACTATCAATGATCACATGATGTGTTAGTGTCATTTTTCTAGACTATCAATGATCACATGTGTTTTTGTCATTTTTCTAGACTATCAATGATCACATGATGTGTTTTTGTCATTTTTCTAGACTATCAATGATCACATGATGTGTTACTACCTTTCTACTTTTGGTCAGAGCATACAAAATAAATAGGTTATCCACATTGAATGCCTCCATGCATGTTTTATACAAGGCATATATTTTTTTAACCGTCTTTCAAATAAATGCCATCATGAAGTATTATAAAAATGAATATCCTAGGCAATCTTTCTTTGTCAAGAGAGAACCCTCAAGAGCCATATAAATCATACCCTAATCTACAGAAGTGAATCATGCATAGTTGGATGATTAGTTAAAAATTATCTGGAAGCGACAACAATGAGATGATGCTGGACAGTCTGACATCATGGCATGAAAGAACATCTTTTTCGGAATTTATTGAAATTACACGAGACAGAAGGTTGTGGACAGACATGACTACCAACACCTCATGTCATGGACTATAGGGAGAAGGAATATAACTGTTCAGATTTTTTTAAGAATCAGAACTGAAAACACCTGGGACTGAACGAATAAAAATCTACCAAGTTATACTAGAACAAAACACCCCAACATAAAATCAGTCAAAATATTCTTTGATGCGTATAACTTTCTATCAGTTTTTAAAGGGTAACAACATATTTAATTTTTGTATGACATATAAACCAATACATCTAAGATTTTCTTACTTTTTAAAGCAAATCAAGCCTTCTATTCATATATTAAGGATGATTTCTTGATGAATCAACCAATCTACAGTAACATGTAACCTCATTACTTGTCCCAGGTTGACCAAGCCTTGAATGGGTACCACATGTAATCTTAGGAAGTAAAGGCAGCCGACGTGGTGCTGATCACATTACCTATCAAGTGCTGACTGGTATATAAAATATAGGTCTAGCCTTATATGCCCAAAGATGTGGAAAAGGGTCCTTTACGTTTACTTTACTTGTTGAATGAGCTAGTTGCTGAATTAAATGTGGTATGTACTTTGTGTTATAAAATATATATTTGTTGGCACTCATTGTTATTATTTTGGTATTTACTATATGACTCTGAGCTTCCTTGCCTTCAACTCATTGTCAGATAGATAAATCTACATACATATGCTCAGAATGCACATGACAGAATGGAATAGACTACGAGCCCTAAGTGATGTATAATGACATAAGAGGGTAATGATGCTGGTCAAGATATTATACTCAGCAATATACAGCAATTAGAAAAGTTAAACTAAGGCCCTGCAGATGTGAATATACAGAAACATAAAACACATATTGTGTTTCATGGAAATAAACAAACAAAGGCAACAAAAACAACAAAAAATCTGGAAAAATGAAACAAAAAATACAGTCAAATAAAGAGGTTGTTTTGGAGCTCTGAGAGTTGTTGAAAGAAATTTAAGAGAAAGAGAGAGAGAGAGGGGGAGAGAGAGAGAGAGAGAGGAGAGAGAGAGAGAGAGCGAGGGGGAGGGGTAAAATATTTTTGCCACATTAAAATACATAACCCCCCCCCCCTTAAAAACCTATGCCTAGGGAAAGGTTAAAAGGCAGGGGATTGAAAGGTAATATGGATGCAAAAGGGAAGAAATTAGGCCAAGTGATAAGGGGTTTTGAAGAGACAATAGTGGCACTTTGTGTCACTGTGTGTTAATCGCTCGTTGTGAGGTTAAACGTCACTCAACGTCAGCCAACCTTCACTGAGGAGATGACACCTGACTGACAGAGAATGAATAAAGCTTTTAATAGCATCAAGTCTTTAGAACACGAGCTTGTAGTGATCAAGTCTCATAATCCTTATATGGCTTAGGCACCAGAACCTGGGAGCTCAGTCAACTCCAGTGCCCCCCCCCCCCACCCACCTTTTTTTTATAAATGTTTTAATTTTTAGTAAGGCTGCATCATTGTCATCATCAGGTGGCTTGCTGACTGGCATGGGTGATCATGCCTCTCCATAATCTGTGATCCGCCGCTACATGTATCAGTTCATGTTTTGACACCCCTCCATGCCGTGACAAAAAGCCACCAAGAATCTTCTCATGCCTCTGTCTCTCTTTCCACTGATCTTTCCGGTGGTCACAACATGTTCCATTTTCCCTCTTCTTATAACATAACCAAAAAATGATGACTGTCTCTTTCTGATGTTTGTGATAAGTTGTCTCCGAACACACGCCTCCTTCAAAACATCTGGGTTGCTCTTCTCAGCTGTCCAAGAAATTCTAAGGAATCTTCTGTAAAACCACATTTCTGAGGCCTCAAGATATTGCTCAGCCTGTTTCTTAATTGTCCAGCATTCACAGCCATAGTTTAAAAACTGGTTCTATATAGCATCATCATCATCATCAGGTGCCTTGCCGACTGGCGTGGGCGATCATGCCTCTCCACAATCTGCGATCTTCTGCAGCATGTATCAGTTCGTGTGCCGACACACCTCCATGCCATGCAACAAGACTGTCAAGAATCTTCTCTCGTTGTCTTCCTCTATCCCTCCTTCCAGGGCTCTTTCCAGTGGTCACAACATGTTCTATTTTCCCTCTTCTCATAACATGGCCGAAAAATGATGACTGTCTCCTTCTGTCTGTGATAAGCTGTATTCTGGCTCCCGCTTTCAAAACCTCTTAATTGCTCTTTTTGGCTGTCAAAGGTATTCTAAGCATTCTTCTGTAAAACCACATCTCTGAGGCTTCAAGAAATTGTTTGGCCTGCCTACCGATTGTCCAGGATTCACAGCCATATGTTAAAACTGGATGTATGTAGCAAGCAAGAATTCTTTTTCTATCTCTCAATAACAAAGATATATTGCACATATAGCATATATAGGCAAATTTACTACTTGTATCAGACAGATCATGGGAACGACACCCTGTACTAGATTCATCCAAAAACAGCAGATCAAATGGTTCAGCCATCTCATTAGAATGCAGCAAGATCAAATGCCACCACAGGTACAACATCTCAGAAGATCAGCTACAAGATCAGGAGGCCTCAAATGTCAAATCCAGTGCATCTGAATGACAGAAGTGGAGGGAGCCGATCAAACAGTCCACAGTTACTGAGACCACAGTTACTGTTGACCCAACAACACATGGTGTTATGGGACTATGATGATGGTGGTGGTGGTGGTGAAAACACTTGTGATACAATCCAGTTACCTACTGATATCTGGCAGACTTCACAGCTTCATGCTAAATCGCTAATTGTTCAAAGCAGACTTCTGAAAATGACTCACTGATATATACATATACTAGTTAGAATTTCTTCAGATAAAGGCATTATCCAAACTGTATGGATTAGTGGAGGACACAAACCACTCCACAAACTTCAAAGAAACCTGCGGCCTTCTCATAGGAAAACTCCTGGCAGGGAGAACAAACAGAAGAAGATACTGAATGGCTTATTGTAAAAATTGGACATTCTGAAAAGACTCACTGATATACACATACTAGTAAGAATTACTTCAGGTCCTGCTCAGGTAGATTAGCATAATTGAATGAATGAATAACTAAAAATACCACCGCAGTCTACATGTTATTTCCTTCGCTTTTTGACTGGCTGTTCTTCTTCCTCTGAATCATCTTCATCAAAAAAAGATATACCCTTCTTTTTAGCTGTTGTTTTCGTCTGCTTCCGACTAATACCTGATTTGTTCATGCTTGCAGAATTAAACGCTTCATCATCATCGGAACCATCTAACAATATGGAGTCAACTTCTGATGCACCCCTGAAAATGGAACCATAATAACATTAACATACTGCAGTAATTTTTCTTAAAACCACAACCACTTTACATAGTAATATATAAATTTAAATTATTCACAATGGATTACCAACTGAAATGTAGTGGATTGTATGTAATTCAGACATGGTATTCATTTGAAAAGTGGCAAACTTGGTTTGCTTTTCATTTTAACATTATATCTGTCATACCCAGTTGTAGCTCAATACTTTGACGCTCCAAGGCAGTGACACTATTGGCAGTGATACTATCATAGGATGTCACATATACCTAAGGATGCTTGAGATTTTAATTTTATAATTTTAGTTTCAGACTGTCAATATTTAATACATTTTTTCTTCTGATAGTTGAGAAATCTGCATAAGTTACTATTTTTAAATCTGCAAACAAAATTTTTAACCCAGATTTAAGATTTGTTGTACATGTTAGAAGAATAATAGGCTTTAAAGCTTATAAACACTGACAAACTTAATTGAGGGGGGGGGGGAGGGGAGAGAAGGAGCATGGGAAAGACAAGAGAAGAAACCAGAATAGCTTAGCCACATGGAATCAGTGCGACAAGAACACAGGCCTGATCTAAAGCAATGGTGATAGTGTGAGATGTCAAATCCTGACAGCCCACTCTTATTGGTTTTATATGATGATGATGATCAAGCCTACAGGCCTTAGGCTTGAATGTGTCATCCACTGCTGGACTTCAGCTGTGTTCCAGGACTCGAGTGCTGCATGCAAATCCATCATATAGATCTGGCTTCTTTGTGTGCGGACTGTTCGTTCCTTGTCTCTTGGGTAGATGCACTTTAACAGAAACGCTGATGCTATCTATACTTGCCAGGCTCACGACTGAGAATCTGTTTCTAGGATGAACGCAGAGAGTTGCAGATAGGTTTTGACCAGCCTTTGCCTGGGTGTGGTTCAGCACCTCTGAATCCCATATTTCTTCCATGGCTCCACCATGGTCTACTCAGCCTAAAAAGTGAAGAGGCTGGCGGAATACTGACCTAGTCACCCACCGAGTGCCAACTGGTCTATGAACACACCATTGGCATAAAAATGATCCTTTACTTACTTTTGTATATTATGAGTATAATTTAGTTGAAACTTAGTAATGTCAGCGGCTCATGTTCATCAGTCAGCAGGTTCTTTACAGAAGGTCACTCTCTTTACAGCCCGTCTGAAAGTCTCTTTCTTTAGCCAATTATCCAGCCCTATGTGCTTTCATAGCCAATGCATCTTTAATGTCTGGTATCCACCTTTGGTCTCTGTCTCATTTTCTTGAAACTGCATCATCCATCAGTGGTCTCTCAATGATGTTTAACATGGCCAAAATCGTTCTCTTTTGGGACAGGATGGTGTTTATGAGCTAATTCTCCTCGATGCTCAGATCATGAAGTATTCTGATGATTTTCTTTCTCTTGATCCGCAGTATTCTAAGTTCAAAAGCTCTGATATTTTACTTAAAATGTTGAGTAAGAATTCATGACTTTCAAACATAAGTTGCCAAGGAAAAGATGCAGGATCTCAAAATTTTTACTTTAACACGCTTGCAGGTGCCGTGCCATATGTTCTTCATGCTGTTTAGGCCCTGTAGTGCTTAAGCAAGTCTTTTCCTGCCTTCTTTTGTACAGTCACCATTGCTGTTCACCACTAAGCCCAAATATTCTAAATCTGGCTTATGTTAGTTAAAAACATAATATGACGAGACTTTTAACAAATCTACTCACACAGAAGCTTTATCTCTTGAATTAACTGACGTCATATAATTCTGTATTCCATAACTTCCAATGACAGGTGCTTTAGTAGTTTTGGCACCTTTAGCTCCCCGAGAACCCCTTCCTCCCCGAGAAGATGTAGACGCCTTTTCACTGTCTGTAAACAGAAGCCATTATAAATTATAGACAGATGCATGGACGATCACTTATAAGTATTAAACTATATAAACATTTTTTAAAAATCTTTTTCTTATTTCTTCTGCATTCCAAGCCCTGGAGGTTCACTGCTGCAGATATCACCAGCCTCCTTTCATCTAAGTGACTGGTCTTCTCCTTCCAGTTGTTGACTTAAAGTGTAGCAGATCTGCTTGCATATCATCTCTCCAAGGTCTTCTTGGTCTGCCTCATTATCTACTCCCAAAACAACTCTTCTGTGTACACAGTTTCTGTATGTCTGCCATTCTCTCTGAATGAATGTCCAACCCATTGCCTTCTATCAGCCCTCATGATGACAGTAATTAATTTGTGGTGATAAAAACAAATTAAAAGTTTCACTGTTGCTTTTGTTCACTTTTTTACTCTCGGTTTTCATCGATAACAAACCCAAAGTTTCATCTTCAGACTGTTTTCAAAAGTTTGTAATAAAGCTTCATCTATTTTAGTTGTTGTCAGTTTTATTTGCCATAACATTTATTTGTGATCTAGCTGGTGCGGCAGCCAGTCAAATTGCAGAGACTGCACTGGCAAAGCAATGGAGACGAGCTAGATCAGCGGGGCAAGCCTTTCTTCTAGTGTGTCTACCATCTCCTGTCCACACAGCCCAAGAATTCTATGGCTTCATTAGTGAACTCTGAACCCATAATCAGTAGATGACAAGTGGTCATCTTCGCTTCTGAGGAATGAACAATGTATACTTGTTAAATTCAACACCGGCTATCATACTCAACTCCAGACATGTCCATGGATGCTAAAGCCCTTTGTAAATTTAGAAGCTTAGAGAGACTAATTATTAATTATTTCTTCTTCCTATTCTTCTCTGTTTGCCTTGTAAAGGGCGGCTGATACACTCTATTGTCATAACTGCACTTTTTAATCCAACAAAAAGGATTTCAGCACCCTTAATTAAAAATCTTTTAAACATGCTTACTAGGGAGCAGTATTTTTTTTTGGTTTAAACCTCACCCCTCAGCTCCCAGAACCCCTACAAGGAATATATGAGATGTTATTTAATTCTTGACGGCCGAAGGTTGTGTACCTAAAGACATGGAACAAAGAATGAGAGCCGTGTGTGGATGTCAGTACGGTTAGGAGGTGGGCATGGACATAAAAAGGCAAGAACCCAACCTTGACAGACCTGCATGATCAGACTCGCAGAGGACGACAAATCAAACACGAGTAAACAAACTATGGCAGCATTGGAGAATCTCAATTTAAAGACATTTTGGTGCATCCAGCATATAGTTCTGAACTGGCACCCTGTGACTTTTTCCGGTTCCCAAAGTTCAAAGAACATCTCAAGAGAAACAGATATGCTTCTGATGAGGATGTGGTAGCTGATGTGCATTCCTGGTTTCGTGAAAAATTGTCTGATGTTTTATCTCGACTGGATGCGATAACCTGTTCAACGCTGGCATACGTGTGTGGAGTGTGGTGGTGACTACGTTAAAAAATGACACCTTACTTAAATGATATCCCAAGCTTTTGGAAAATGTATTGTTTTGTGTGTACATTATGTATATTAACAAAGCTATGTCCTTGGAGGCATAATTTTTCAAACTTTATAATTTATTTAAAAAAGATTAATGCATGAGGCAAGCTATAAAAGCACCACATAAAATCAACATATTGGTAAATAACTGAATATATACATACATAATGAAGAAAGAGAGACAGCCGAGACAGGCAATGCAATGAACACCACAAGGACAGCGAGAAACAGGCAGGGCCCAGAGGCACGTGGAGGCAAACTTTTGAGGCTGAAGTCAGGCTATGCAAAAGACAAAAATGGACATAGAGATGATGGCTCAGGATCCAACTGAGTGGCGACAGTTTGTCTCTGCCTTATGTGCCTCTTGGCACGATGAGGAATGACTGACTGATACATACATACATAAAATTGAGCTAACCTGAATCATCATTTGTTTTTGAACCTCGCCCACGGCCTCTGCTTCCTGCTGCACCTGCTCTACTGCCTCTACCCCTTCCTCTTTTTGTCACTGCAGGTACATCTCTATCATTATTATCATCATCATCACTCCCGATGTCATTCTCTCCATTGCTTGCCTGAGATTCTCTTTTGGATTGTGCTTCTTTTAAAGCTTCTTTAATTTCCTCTTCCTCCTCCCCTTTCTTCTTCTTTCGCTCCTCTTTAAATTTGACAACTTCATTGTCAATCTGATCTTCAGTTACGTTTCGCTTTTGTAAATGAGCCTGTAGATAAAGCAAAATATCACATAAATTATAATGTCCTGCTACAGATCCGGGTATGTGCAAAATACATGAAATCCACAGCTGACATATAACAACGAAACTATATAAACATAAATTCTGTGTGCGTGGACATGCATGCATGTGCACAAAGCACTGCTATTTTTTTATCAGGAGCTTTTGCAGCATTCTTTGCTCCAAATGAATTGGTGATACCCTTTCCATTGGAGTAAACAAAAAGGATCATGAAGCATGGACAACACTTGTTCTCTGCAATACTGTCAAAGCTTTGTGCTATGGAGAAGAAAAACTTTGTCCTTGACCTTAACTGTTATCATCATAGGCTATTATTTCAATGCATCCTTATAGCACAATAGAATACTATCGCAGGCAAAGATGGAAAGGTGCCAACATACATGTAAGTGTATATATGTTCATGGGTATTTATATAAACACACACACACACACACACACACACATATATGTAAACACAAATTGTTTGTAGGAACACAATTGTTGGAAAATGATATATGAGGTGATATTAAACAATGGAGGCAGAGATGTGATCCGTTGGAAACATGTTGAAAATATTGTTGACGAATGAAACGTGTATGAGGGTATTGACCAATACACATGTTTCTTATTACTCAATGAAGATATAAGAAAAGAGAAGAGTTAAGTATATGGTGCATATCAATAGAATATGTGGAACATGGAAACATGCTTTATGTGGGGAAAATACTGGGCAGGAGAAGTACAGGAACACACAAGACACGTGTCAATATCTCAAACAGCTGGCAACAAATAACCATATATGCCGTGTCAACTTTATTCAAAATTTAGACAGAAGATTAGACAGCAATAACCTCAAATGTATACTTTAAACCGAAAAAAATATTTTTAAAAATTATAATAAGTATATATTGTATAGTTGTTGAGGTTTCAACTTCAATGCTTCCCCGTGTGGGTTCCAGGGCCCTATTATAGGGAAAACAAGAACAGACCCACTGCCTACCCAAAAGCATGTCGTTAGAGTCTACTAATTGGGAGCTTTTTTCGAAGTCTGAGTGCATCTGCCTGAGAGGTAAGGAACCAACAGTCTGCATACAAACTAGTCAGATCTGTCAAATGGATGCACATGCAAAAATCAGGTTCTGGAACAGAACTGCAGTCCATAAATGGGCTAACAGCCAGAACTTTCTGCTGGAGTGTACAGCTGGTGAACGCAAAGACGAAGAACTTCAATGCAAAAAGGCCACCCTATAACTATCCTGTTCTAAGCCAGTGAAAATCACATGCAAAAATGCTCTTCGTGTCCCATCTGAAAACTAATGAAAAGGCAAATTAGTCCTGGCAAAATCCAGAAGCTCACACACATAATACAGCTATCAAAGGTGCCAACACTTACAGTCTGCCACTAAAATTGCATTTAATTTTTGATGGAAGTAGTCAGCCATGATTTATTAGCAGCAGCACAAGTAAAGGGGGTATATAAAAACTATCATATAGATACAGACCAGCAGTAGCATTTCACAATTTCTAACCTGTGTTTTCTTAAGCTGATATTTAACTAATTCAGTGATAGCTTCTTTCTCTTCTTTGTCAACGTATTCCTTCACGGCTTCTGACATTCCCTTTTCACTCAATAACTTCAGCTGGAACTGAAAATAAAAATAAGACTGGCAAAATTAAAAACAGATGTCAAAAATTACCTTCAACAATGTATGGAAAATATATCAACACCACAACATAAGTGATAACAAAAAAGTGAAATAATTAGTCAAGTTGTTCTGTATTCATACCAGTAATATTAAAAAGGAAAATGCTTTAGAAGCATTTCAAAGGCACTTTTAATATCTCAGTTAAGGCATTTCCCCATGTGGGTTCCAAGGCCATATTATAGGGAAAACAAGAATAGACCCACTGCTTACCCAAAAGCATGTCCTGAGAGTCAACTAATTGGGAGCTTCCTTCGAAATTGGAGTGCATCTGCCTGAGAGGCAAGGAACCAGCAGTCTGCATACAAATGAGTCACATGTGTAAAAAGGATGCACACGCAACACTCAGGTTCTGGAACAGGACTGCAGTCCAAAAGTGGATGAACAACCGGAACTTTCTGCCAGAGTTTATAGCTGGTGAACGCAAAGATGAAGAAGAAGAAGAAGAAGTCAAGGCATTCAGCACCGATCCTGATACTGGGATCAGCACTGATCCTGATACTGGGCAAGCTGCTCCAGGCAGCTATTCATCCCAGCATTAATCTAACTGTTGTGGAGAGGTGGCATGTAGGACTGCAGTAGCAGCAGTAGTTCAACAAAGACAGCAGAAAAGACTGTCAACTGAACACTCCAACAGATTCAGGCCAAATTCCCTGCCAATACTGCAAGAGAGTATTATGTGCCATAACAGGACAGATCAGATACATATGTAGCCATAAATTAGAGGATGAAAGAACTGGTCATGAATACTTCTGATATCTGATCAACATACTGATCTCCTTTATTTGCTAAGATATTTTTTTTTATGTGTGCAGTTTTTTTTTTTTTGAAAGGCATTTTATTTTGTTACCACTACTGCTATAGAGACTTAGTGATGAGTACTGGCACCCTTTTAAAGACAGTTTCTGGTGAGCACTGGCACTTTTTATTCTGGGGAGGAGGGACCATACCTCATCCTAAAATGTGATATCATAAGCCAGTTTAACAATTAAAATTTAAAAAACAAAAAGAATGTTCTGGTACTAACCCCTTCATCAGACATGAGCCTGGTAACCATATCCTCCACTCTTGCACTATCCAAAGCTTTGATCCTGGCCAATATGTTTGGATCTGGGGGTGTAGAAAAAAATCAGTATGGATGGATTAATAATTTATAATTAATCCCTGCATAATAAATTTAAATCCTTTTTGTAACGATTACAAAAATAAATTGAATTTTTGTACAAGTGAGCAGAGAGGTAGCAGCCGTGGTGTAGCAGTTAGATGCTCACCTATGGATCAGTGACAGAGCTGGACTTAAAAAAAAAAATTACCTTGGCTACCAGGTCGAACCAGCCTTGAGTGGGTATCAGGTAATATCATGGGAAGTAAAGGAGGCCTGCATGATGCTTACCACATCACCAACCATGTGCCGACTGGTCTATAAAATATAGGTCTAGCCCTATATGCCCAATGCGCCTGAAGGCATAGAAAACTTTGCTAAGGAGAAACAAAGAGATAGAGGGAGAGAGAGAGAGAGGAAAGATGCTGCACAGATGGAATCATGGCATATGAAATCATCTGTATCAGAAATTATTGAAAGTACATGAGACAGAATATTCTGCACAGACATGACTACGAACACCAAACAACATGGACTACAAGAAGATGGGAGGAATAAATGAACAAACAAATTTCGTTTTCAAAACTGGCATAAGGGCATGTCTTTTACTATTACTTTTCACACTGAGTGGAGATGTATGAATGAAATGATGTATGAAAGGAGGGAAATTAGAAGGGCAGAAAGTTAAACGAACCTGTTTGCAATATTCTTAACCCTCTGAAAATAAAGTCTGTTCGTTCGTTCGTTTTTGTTTTTACATTGTGTCCTCAGTCCTTGTAAACACAAGTTCAGGAGATGCTTCGTCTTCACGTTCACCAGCTGTAAACTCTGGCGGAAAGTTCTGGTTCATCCACTTTCGGACTGCAGCCCTGTTCCAGAACTTAAGTGTTGCGTGTGCAGATCTGTTTTACAGATCTGACTCATTTGTATGCAGGATTCTGTTTCCTTGCCTCTCAGGCAGATGCACTCTGACTTCAAAGGAAGCTTCCAGTTAGTTGACTCTTACAACATGCTTTTGGGTAGGCGGTGGGTCTATTTTTGTTTTCCCTATAAAAGGGCCCCGGAACCCACACGGGGAGTTCAGGAGACTGAAAACGAGGTCCTTGTTGGGGTACTGAAGCAGACAGTCCACTATGTCAGCCTGTCTACAGCTCTCAAGAGTACAGCTCCCTTTTCAGTTAAAGGATACGAGTTGAGTTGAGTTGTGTCAAGAACTGACATCACAGCACTCGGGGCATTCCCATGCATGCTCAGTCCTCATCTTCAGCAGCCAGCACAGTTTCAATACTGATGGTACCGGTCACAATTTGGTTAAATGTCCGTCTTGCCTTTCCTCTGAGTGTAGTGAGCTGGCCAGACCCTCTAGTTAAACCCAAGTGCCTCATTCTCTCCAGGCCATTATAATCTTGTTTCTCTACAGATTCCGTTGCTCGTTTCCAAAGGGAAAAGGATATGAGCATTTACATAGTAAAAGCATATCTTTCATTCTGTTTCACAAGCTGCGGCAAAATAATTCTTCTTCTTCCTTAACAGTCTATGCCATGTATCACTGATCATCATGTCTGTCCACAGCTTTCTGTCTTATTTGCTGTCAATAATTTCTTATATAAATATATATCCATGCCACTATGTCTAACACTACCTTCCCTGCTCTCTCTTCTCTTTCATTTTCCTGACATCTCCTTTTAATTGGTGTCCAATAAAACATTGCAGACTGACCCCAAACTTGTGAAATAATTTTTGTGCCTCTACTTCAATACTTCCATCTTTTTTCCAGAACCTGAGTTGTGCATGTATATATGTTTTAGGGATAAGTGTTTTACAAGTGTACAGACTGTTGGTTCCTCGCCTGGGTCAGATGAACTGTGACTCCGAAGAAAACAACGCTAATCAGTCGCCTTGTATGACCCAGAAACCAAAAATGTTCTATTTTCTCATACTTAAGAACTACATATATTCTTCTTTCCTTTACTCTCTTTTACAGTAGAACATCCAGGAGAAAGGCAAGGGGAAAGAGAAGGATAAAGGATGTAGATGAAAACTGTAAAAAAAAAAATAAGGTGAACAAATCCACTATGTAAGAAGTGCAAGACAAATACAGAAAACCTTGACAATGGGCTACAGCCTGGTAAGTCAGATGACAAAAGAAGAATCCTGTCTCAATGGATCACAGACCATCAATCATTTCTTACCAAGCCATTTGCAGCCAAAGTTTTCTTTGACAAGAGGCAGCTATTCTCATGCCAATTCCCTTCAATCATCTCTTTTAACATGCAAAATGGTTACTGTGTACCTTCTATTTTTGTTTCTGTCAACAGCCCCTGTAATACACTAACAACTACAGAGTTAACACTGACAACTACAGAGTTAACCTAAACAAATTCTGCATGTTTAATCACAAGATTTAACAAACCATGTTTCAAATTCTCAGCTTTGCAAGATTTCTGTCTTTGGAAGAGAATCAATGTTTTAGGGTTGGCCACTGTTTCCAAAAATTTCTGACCAAATCTGTAAAAAAAAAACTTTTTTTAAATGGTGTGAATAAAATCATTTTAAAAAAAGTTAACACAATCTGAGATATCACAGAATCAAAGAAAAATTACCTAATGAAGTGGACGGTTGATCTTCCTTAGCATCAATGCAAAAAAGACCCATTTTTGGAGCCTTCAGGCGGATAGGTCACATACAGCTACACTATATTTTACAGACCAATGGGCACTGGGTGGATGAAGCGGGCAGCATTATGGTAACAGCCTTTACTATCCAGGACTTTTTAAATGGTGCCCATTTAAGGCTGGGTCGACCTGAGAGAAAAGGTCATTTTTACAAAAAGTCCAGCGCTGTCCAGAGTTGAACCCATGACTTTTAGATATGCAGGCGATTGTCTAGCTGCTAAATCATGGTGGCTACCACCCTTAGCATCAATGAATTATTTAAAAATTGACATCACTGCACTGGAACACCCCCACATGTGTTCAGACCTTTTTTTATAGTAGCCAGAAAAGAGCTACCATACTGAAATGCCATTGGCCTTCTCCACTTTCATTTGTTTCTATGTCAGCTACAGAAGGTATCAAGCTCAGTGCCTGCACTCTATTGCTTTAGCAATAATTCTTCTTCATTTTTATTCTTTAGTAAACACTTTGAAGCCACCTGCAGCTTCTACAAGTCAAATGACAGCAATACAGAATAGGAAGTGTTTCCACAGAGATGAAACATCATCATCATGGGCCCTGGCAGTATAGGTATTATAGTCTCTTCATAGATGTCAGTCTTAAAAGAAGAATATACAGTATTATTTACACTACAGTGGTGGTCACAAGTTTAAGACCACCAAGTAAATTACTGACAATTTCTTACTGTTACAAAGTATTATATTCACTGCTATTTTAAGGCCTACCAAAGGCAATCACTGCAGTCTCATTGTGCCTTAAAACAGCAGTTGATGCAGTACTCCATAAAATGTGAAAACATCAGTTCTTTACTAGATTTGTGACAGGGATGCCTTTTGTAGCCTCTACTTTCAACTGACTGGATTATGAAGACAGCAACAGCTACCACAAAAAATGGAATTCAGTGGATCCCAACAAAACAGCTTGACGATCTGGACTTCACCGACATTTTTTGTCATACCCCACTCAAGGAATCAGATGCAAGATAAATAAAACATACCTGACAAGAGATCACAACAATCAGGTCTAAAAATCCATAAGGGAAAGACAAAGATAATGAGAAGTATGGTCAGATTTGCTCTAAAATGAGTAAGGGAAAATAAGAACAGAAAGATTGTTTTACTTCATTCACATATTTTTCTTCTGCACTGGACGTTAAATGTGTAGTTGACACCCTGTGCTCTGATTTACAGTTAGGCTGTGATATTTGCACCTTCTGATCCAAAACATTCAATTTCAGCAAACCTTGAATTAGTTGCCATTGATGACATACTCGTCAGAGGAGCAGTTGGTCCGGCTTTTTTTTCTTTCTTACCAAACTAAAGCACTGTAACCCACACAATGCATTCATATATCTGAACTACTTGTGATTAAAGACTTACTACTGTGTATTTAGTTTTTTTATTTGTTCACTAATTACAGCTTTTATTTAAATGTTTACTTTGAATCTGTGAGGAGTGGCTGGCCGAACAGTTAAAATGTTGGGCTCTCAAGCAGGAGACCCGGGTTTGAATCCTCTGTAAGGTTGGGTTTTTCCTGTCAAGGGCAAAATAAAATTCTCACCTGCAGTCGTGGCGACAACACTAGCCATGCAGCCTTAAATCCTCAGGTTCAAAGATCCTCCTGCCTACACCGCAAAAGTGGTATGATAAAGGCAGTTATTGGCGGTTTTGTATCTGTATATATTGTATTTGTTTTGTGGAGTACACTAGTAATATTTTGCATTCATTTGTTCTTGCTATCAGAGTAACTGCAATAATCCCTGTTTTTTTTTTTAAATACATGCTCAATTGAGTTCTGCCTGCCTGGCTGGTGACTCATTCCAGCAGTGAACAAAACCATTTAGAAGAAGCAACAAATTAAATAGAAGTGAATACTTGTTTCACATACCTCTGAGATGTGAAAGGTTCAAAACCTGTGTAGTCCACTTTCAATCGAATCAGAGGAAGAGACGGCTGGTCCCTGTTGCCAGTATGTTCTTTTTCTGAATAAAATATTGGCACAGTAAACTATAACGACCAAAACAATATATAAAACAATAAAATGTCAAAGTTGCAAGAAACAAAAATTTGTCATTTATATAGTCAATATATCATATTTTTGATGTGCTAGTATCACATTTTGCTGTACCTTGTAGTACTAATGTTCAGCTTGTGAAATAACTGGCATCAAAACTTCTAAGACTACAACTAGCAATAACACATTATTTAACAGAATAACTTCTCTATTCACCGGATGTAAGATGATCCTGGTTGCATGTCCATTTAGACTTTGGTTTTGTGCCAGGGCCGAAGTTTTGCATGTACATCCATTTGACTGGCTTTTGTGTGTGCAGTTTTTTTTGTTCCTTGCAACTCTGGCACTCTGATTTTGAAGAACGCTCCCAATTAGTAGACTCATATGACATGCATTTGTTGAGTTGGCAGCAGGTCTATTCCTCTTATCCCCACAATGAGACCCCAGAGACTACAGTTCAATAGAAGAACTGAAAGCCAGAAGCAAAAAAGAATTCAATTTTATTTAATGGGTTTTAAAGGTTGTAAGATTATAAGCAAGAGGGTTGACCTCACTGCACTCAGTTTTAATTCAAAAGGTTCAATCTCTTTCCACTGAGTAGCTGTTCCTCTTCCTGTCCACGTCAGTGCCTCTCAGTCAGTGAAATAGTGTGGATGTGTGTAAACTTTATTCAGAATTATGTGTAATATTTTATTGTGTTGGAGAGTTTGGACTGTTTAGTGGAATTTAGTGTATTAATCAAAAGGCTACCAGTGAGTGTAGTTATTAGAGACTAGATGGTGATATCTGGACACTTTATCTGACCACTGTCTTATTTGACTTATTATATTTCACAGTGTTGTTCAGTGCCAATGGCTGTTATATTTAACCTTATGGGTCTTTTGAGAGAAGTACTATTTATCTGCTTTCCATCAGGTCAGCCTGGCTTATACAGCAATAACTGCTGCTGTAGGCTGTGACCCCAGAAGTGGGCACATAGCCGAATGCGATATTATAGGCTACTGGTGACCCTAGGAGAGGGCCCATGTGCCGAAGGTGTTTGTGTGTAGGGGACTCCTGTCAAGTTGAGGCTATGTGTCACCCTTTGAGGCGATGCCACCTTATAAATATACTAATGTGTATTTGGAAGAAGTAGACAGACAGTAGTTCTGCCAATAACTTCGTCGCATAGTGTTCGTCAATAAAGAGACTGATGCACTATTATAGAGATTACTTTCAACTTATTGTTGTTGACACAGTTATTAGAGTGTTTGTGGTACGATGTAGGCTATGTGTAACTGTCTATGCACTCTCCGGTAGGGAACTCAATTAGTCATCAGATAGTCAACTTGAGGACTGAAGCAGGATCATCACCCTAGACACTTTGCCAGATATGCGATACACCCCCCCCCCCACCCCTGTGCAGCATGTTACACTTGCATAAGATTAAGATTTAGCAGAGGCAATGATTTATTCAGCCTACTCTGTTGAGATTTTGGCTCTACTGGCAAATCCGGACGAAGAATAAACAGCTTTGGACGACTTAGTCAGAGTTCTCTCCCGTGTCCGCACTCCAAACAGTGATCGGAAAAGCCACAACGAAACAAAGAAGACAGTCACGTCAACATCAGGGCTGCCAATGCTTGGTTCTTTCCCCCAGATCTGGGTTTTTTTTCAACGCTGCAGGACAAATCTGGGTTTTTTTGGGTGTGTTTTGTTTGTTGTTTTTTGCCGATTTGTTAATGATCGATAAATTTGCGTGGTTAGGGGTAGGGGTTAGGGTTAGGGAGTAGGATTAGGATTAGGGTTAGCGGTAGGGTTAGGTTTAGCGTTAGATTTGACAATTTTGACGCCGGAGTTCCCTATAATCGCGCACAGTCCCATACACACACAAACAATCGAGGGACTCTGGATGCTGGTAAAACGCACAATTCGCCAACGATTGGGGGCACCAGCCGCACGCTATTGGCGTCATATTTGGCAGAGTTTCAGTGGCGCCACTCCCACAAACATCAGATTGTCGGCCAGTATTTTGAAATCCAACGTAAAAATTTTCACATCTAACACTACCCCTACCCCTAACCCTACCCCTACCCCTAACCCTAACCCTACCCCTAACTCTAATCCAACAACCGCATGATGATGACCACACAACCATTCACACTGCCTCACGCAACCGTACGCAACCCTGCAGGCAACCATATGATGACCCAACCGTACACAGCCCTACACGCAACCGCAGGATGATAGCTAAATGTGTCGTTTGTTTTGTTTGTTTTCCGATCACTGTTTGGAGTGCGGCCACGGGAGAGAACTCTGACTAAGTCGTTCAAGGCTGTTTATTCTTCGTCCGGATTTGCCAGTAGAGCCGAGATTTTTAACTATACCACCGTGCTACTGTAACACTCAATTTACTTGTATAACACAGCTAAGTTGAGTATATTCTATAAACTGGTCGGAACTCACCTGCTTTAGCTATCATTTCTTGCACTTTTTTAATACAAAATTCCTCAGATTTCTGCTTGGCTTTAGGTGCTGCAGGATCAATGTGATCAGCCAAGGTCACAGTGTCCATGTACAGCTGCCGAACAGTTTGCAAAGGGATGGCTTTCATACGAAATTCTTTGCCACTGATTTCCAACAATCCTACATGTTTTGGCACCATTTCTCCTGTGTTGGAAATGCAATAATCAATGCTGATACAGAAAAACTAATTTTTCATAATTATATAAAATAAACACTTAAGTAGCAGTAAACGAGCATCGAAAATGAACAATCATTTTGACAGGTGTCTTGTAAAATTTCAGTATTTTTTTTCTTCTTCTTCTTGAACCATGATATTCTATGGACTCTTTACAAATATTTTCAAGCAGTTTGCAGCATCAAACACACAGTGCTAGACTTACATTTGTTCAGACCAATCGGCACTCGATGGGTAAGGTTGTAAAAATCACGTGGGTCACCTTCACTTTCCAGGACTTTGACTGGAGCCCATTTTAGGTTGGGCTGCATAGGAATTGTCAATTTTGATTAGAAATCTGACTCAATATGCATTTGAATCCTAGCTTCAGACCGGCAACTGAGTGTCGAGCTACTATGCTACTGTGAATTCCCATTTTATTCTAAACATGTGTCTCTAACACAAAATTCGAATGCCTTAACACTGTCGCTGTGAGAAAGCCATTTTTCTGACTTTAGGATTTTTTTAGGACATATCTTTGGGCACTGGCCACTATACCTATGTAACAGCTCTGGTACTGGTTCCAGCTACACAATGTACAGACATGGTGGGTATGACTACATTTACTAAAAAAATATATATTATTTAAGTGCAAACAAAAAAAATGGCTTTTTTTTAAAACATTGTTGACGTCATCATCACATCATAATAATCTCATTATTATGTCACTTTGCTCCACGTGGCTAAGTCAACAAATACATGTTTATCGTAGTCAAAAGTAAGGAAAGCAGTTAATTATATGCTCTGTTTTTGGTGATTAATTCCATTACCTGGAAAAAAAAAATTTATTATCACTTATTAAAGTGAATAAAAGAAGTGTGAATTATCTGTGTGACTTGGCAGCCACAATGCCACAGTGGCCATCTTGCTTGTCTGTCTCCTTGGTGGTCATAGGTTGAACCCCTAAGATTTTTTAATTTAAAACTGACCAAGTCTTGAAATTGCATCTGCTTTCCGTCCTCTAGTTTCTTAGGGCAGATTTTAAAAGAATTATAAGAATGAGTTTATTTTTAATGAAATTTTGAAACAGGTGTCATTATTGATTATTACGCTGCAAAAGGGTTAATTTTCCTTTTCAATTAATTATTGCAAAAAGGTTAATGATTCACATCTCTTATGCTACCACAGGAAAGATACATGCTGAAATCTCCCTGATAACGAATGATGATCTTGACGCCTGCGCCAACCACCAATGTGTGGCTTGTTTTTACTATAAAATTAAGTGCCGATGTGTATTCCATGTTTTTTTTTTTTTTTGCGAGGTGGGGGTGGGTGGTAGCCCCACTGCCTTCTTTCCCCAACAAACAAACATGTCAAGGGTTTGCTGAAATCAGATGTGTTGGGCTAAATAGCCCAGATATTGTAGCACAGCTGTAAACTACAGTACAACATGCCAACTGGCCTTTAAAAAAGAGACTAAGGAAAAATAAGAAGAAAAGATAAAGAGCCCAAGAGTGTCTACAACAATCTGGCAACACAAGTAAAACTGCCTCATTTGGTCAGGTACATTACAATCTTCAAGCTAAATAACCCAGACTACCAACCTTCACTCAGTGATGTGGCAATGCTGCTTCCTGGCTGGCAAATGTACAGCTCCTGGGTGGGGTTGTATTCTACGTGACTATTCTCATATTGGAGCCGGCACTCATGCTCGTGGCCCCAGATTACCAAGTCCAGGAAATCTTCCAGAAACTGCTCAGGGATATAGTTTGTTGCTGAGTGTTTGGAACGGTTCTGATGTAGAACAAACATGTTGAACCAGCTATTCTGGCCTTCTTTTGGTCTCAGCATTGAAACATTCTGCAAAGTAATAAATAGAAAAGAAATTAGCTGCACATTTTAGAACTTAGCACTCTCTTGTTCAATCACAATAAACACACAGCAAACTGTTACTGACAGAAACAAAATGTGTTTGTTCCATACACCAGTCAGAATTTGAAGAGTGATGTGTCCAAAATCACAGACATCACCTTTACTTCCCAGGACATTTCCTGTTACCTATTTTAGACTGGGTCGAGCTGGGAGCCCAAGGGCAATAATAAATATCTGTCACGATTCGGATTGCTTTTCTTCTTAGCATTCACAGGTTGTAAACTCTGGTGGAAAGTTCTTGTTCTACGTCTACTCTTAAACTTTGATCCAAAACTTGAGTTTTTACAGACCGGGCTTATTCATATGCAGACTGTTGGTTCCATGTTGGTTCTAGATCTGTCAAATGGATAAGGATGCAAAACTTACGTTCTGGAACAAGTGCTAGACCTAATCATGCCTTTATTGTACTTCCCAACACATTGCTGAGCATCTGTTTCAAGCAGGGTTCATGTGGGAGTCGAGATTAATGATTACATTCTAACTCCAAGGGTAAATGAGCCTCTGGCCATTGGGTTTACAGACAATGCTGGCCAAGGCTGCCATATTATCAAGATGGCTAAAACCGCATCTGGAAATAGTGGATGATCAAGGACAACGTATGTGTCTTGATTAATGCTAAATTCTCTAATGCATATGTCTGGTAGTTACCTTTAATCCATTAACCGTCACACGCAGTTTGCAAAAAAATAGTAATTCACGTGCTTGGGCATGGAGAAGATGATGAAGAAAAAGGAGGAAGGGGGAGCAGGAGGAGACTGATGTACAACAGAGGGAATAGAGCTGGAGAAGAAGACAAAGGAACAGGAGAGGGAGGGGGGAGAAGAAGGAGGAGGGAAAGGAGGAGGAGCAGGAGAAAAAGGAGAAGAGACAGGAGAAGAAAAAGAAAGAAGAAAATGGAAGAGAAGCAGGACCAGAAGGAGAATAGAAAGAAGAAGGTGAAGAAGAAGAAGAAGAAGAAGACATATTACCAATATGTACCTTAATTTCACATTTTTACCTTGTTAACAAACATTCGATGCAGACGTTCATCCCTGATGGACCCCAGTCCATACAGTGCAAGTCTTGTATCCCCTTTCTGCAGCAAAAGTGGAGAGATCTGAATTTTATCCAATGGCAAACTTTTCCCAAAGTAATTTACCAGCCCAGCAGTGTGAAGAAGGTCTAGAGAGCAAAGATTATTCTGACCTGTGGGGTCATCATGGTTGCCATGAATGGAGAAGACCGGAATGGAAATATTTAAATTGGGGTCTTTGTAGTTCACAGTTGGAAATTTACAGTGCTTGAAGTCTGCAGATTCATCACTGAGGTATTCAAAGTTGATTGCTCTGTCTCCCATGCAGTACTGCCTCAGCAAAGACAAGCAGGCATGAAGAGTATGCCTGGAAGGCTTATTGTCATGAAATAGGTCTCCCCCATGTAAAATGAAATCTACATCATTTTTCCGTGCAATGGAAAGAATTTCTTTAAATGTAACAAAAGAGTCATTTCCCCTTATGGGATCATTTTCCATGAAACCCAGATGAACATCTGATGCCACCAAGATCCGAAAGATGTTGGTTGGGTTTGGCGTTGCCATATCAATTAACTGTCTGTAGTATCTTTAACTGGATCTTCAAAGCTTTCTGAAACATATTTTGAAGTAAACTTTTTTTACAAGTCTAAAAAGAAGAACAGCAGCAATTTAGGACCAATTACAGTAGACTAAGGACATTGTTGCGATTAGCCTTCATAATAAGTACAACGATGAAAAACAAGACGGAACATTACAAAATTATCTGACTCTGAAATGTCTAAATCATGGTATTTAACTTAAATTTAATGTAAACAAATTAAACAAAATAATTATAAATGGCATAATTAAATAAAGTATGTGATATTTAAGTGACAATGAGGGACAAAGTTTGCAACCAGACTTTTACATCATGATCTTGAAAACCAGGCCTTACAAACTTGAGTGGATCAGTCATAGTTATGAATGATGGTTTGGACATGTATGCAGAATGGGCGAAAATGGACCACTATGACAGGCATGAGAGGCCAAGAACCACAGAACCAGACCACTACGCTAACTCAGATTTTGCTGGAAAGACAACATCTGACAGTTTCCCACTGACAGAAGACTGGAATGGAACAAAGCCTAAACGCAAGTATGCATGCTGGGAAGACAACATCTGACAGTTCCCCACTGACAGAGGACTGGAATGGAACAAAGCCAAAAGACAAGTATGCATGCTGGGAAGACAACATCTGACAGTTCCGCACTGACAGAAGACTGGAATGAAACAGTGCCAAAAAAAAAACTGCTGATAGAGAAATCTGGCAATCTCTTTGGCAAACCTCTAAACCCTAAGGTAGAAAAAAAGGTAGCGACTAACTATGTGATGTATGTTTAACAACGTAGATTCAGAAGCTTATTTTTTTTATCTGTAGGTCTTTAAAAGGAGTTTAATAATATAATTATTTTAAAATGTATGTTTTAAAACAAAAGGAAAAGGGGGGGGGGGGGACCTATTTCTTGCCATTGGCTCATCAGGTATATCAGGGTAGATCCATATAATTATTGATCTTTCAGCACTCAACTGGTGATGTTGTCCAGATCATGTCAGCTGCCTTTACTTTCCAGGACATTTCCTGGTATAATTATTGGACTGGGCTGAACTAGAAGAAAAAGATCAATTATTAAAACATGCCTCAAGGTGGATCTAAGACTTTTAATCAAGAATCTAACCCCTGACTGGTGCCATTCAAAGTTTTATAATAAGTGCTGAGGTCACAATAAAAGGCATAATACTCTTTTACACATACCAGTGATGGGAAATATCGAAGGCAAGAAAGCAAGAGGAAGACAATGATACAAGTGGTAGGACAACGCCAGGAGATGGATGAACAGCAGTCTGAGTGAGTGTACTGCCAAGACAAGAGACAGAAAGCGTTGAGGATCCATTGCAGCCAATCATCATTGTGGAGAAGGCCCCTGACTTCCTCAGCTGAAAACATGACCAAATCCTAGAGCTGCTCTACCTGAGTCTTAACAAAACTGGCCAGAAAGACACTGGATTTTTCTTGGTGAAAATTTTGCTGAAGTGACTGGGTGCATTCTTGCTTGTAAATGTAACATTGTCTGTTCATGACATGTGCCGAGGAACACTTTTCTAGCCGCAAAGTTCACTTGCCATCAGTAATAACGGGACGCTGACTCGTACTTCTCGTTTGTTATCTTTTTGCTAAACAGAGTACTAAGCTCAGGTATCATGTCTGGCTGTGATGAGGACCTTCTTGTCCTGGTTCTTACCTTTTTTTTTATTTAACTATTTAGGTTTAAGTCAATGATCAATGTGAGCCTGACTCTTCCTGGTAAATCCTAACAATCATTCAATATATTCTCTAACCGTCTACATTTTATTTGTGCATTTTAACTTTTTTCAGTACCAACCAGTACTTACTAGAACATCTTCTGTACCTTAACATCATAGTTCAACTGTTTCAGTCACAGGAGATCACAGCTGATGCTTGACTGAAGCAATAATGATGACAACAAAAGCAAATGTATACTGAATCCACATAGAAAATACACACCACATTGTGGGTGACGTGTGTTGCTGAATTGATTTACTTTTCCTAACAACACTTAAGACGTACACATGTACAACACAAGTCGACTGTTAAATATGAGTAATATCCAGTATGCATGGTGCATAGTTTGGGACTGAAACAATGGAAACTGAAACATCAAGGAACAAGGAGACAGACTAAGATTTAATTAAGTTTTTGAGAAAGAAGAGTCAGAAAATATCTTGTCTTTCGGCAAAACAATGAAAGTATGAGTTACATACTACTACCAAGACTCCACACAAACCATATCTAATATTTATTTTGTATCTTTGGAAGTTTGTGTCCCAATGTGTATATCTGCTAGAAATCCTTGTTACCAAACAAGATTTCTTTACAGTCTGTGGTGTCATTTCCTTTGTTGTGGAATCAACTGTCCTGATCCTTTTAATCCATTATGTTATGTTGGAAACGGGGCGGGGGGGGGGGGGGGGGGGGGGGGGGGTGGGTCTTGCCAAATACTTGGGGGAGGGGTATAGTGGGGGGGGGGGGGTTGCTGTAGACTCCAGGATGGCATGAGGGTCGTGTCATATACTCAAGGGGGTGGAGGCGTGGGGGGTGTTATGAAAGAGGGCTCAAAGACAACTTATTACAAATACCAGAGAGACAGTCACACAATATTTTTTACAAAGTTATGAGAGGAGAGAAACTAGAACATGCTGTGACCACTAGAAAAACTGTGGAAAAGAGACAGAATGAGATTACTGACAGCATGTTGTCATGGCATGGAGGGGTATCAGGACAGGAACTGATACATACTGTTGAAGATCACAGACTGTGTAGAGAAGGCACTTGATGATGAAGATGATATGTGATAAACATTTCTTAGCATCTGTTGCAGTGTTTCTTATTACAATAATTCATATACTCCAGTAGTTGTTACTTTAACCCCTCGAGTCATATAACTATTGAAGGTATTATTTTAACCCGTTATTAACGATAATCAAAGATTATTACTCCAAAAAGCAAATAAAATGGGACATAAAGTAATGACTGCTTGAGACCGAAAGAGTTAATACAATAATGTGGACATGATTTGTCTTATTCTTTCTGGTGCATTATAAACATAAATAATATTTCATGGAAGTATGGCACAGTCGTTCTCCTTTTAGTCTGCTATTGTAGTGACATTCCAGCACTGTGGCTCAAATTCAAACAAAATACAATACTATCTGTGGATGTTATGTTATTGCAATCGACGTCACTGCACATTGGGTATTCCCATGCGTGCTCAGTCCTCGGATGCAGCAGACACTCCAAAGTACTTCTAGTAATTGTTCCCATGAGAAGCTGGTTTTATTGTCATTGTCTGCCATCTCAGCCCGTGTTTGAATTCCCCAAAGAGGTCATCACAAATATAAGTCTAGCATTATAAATGACAGACGCGCCACGGAAATAAAAATGGTCTTCCACTTTAAGTGATCTGTGACTGACTGTGTGGGAGTGTGGACATTGCTAGCTAGTGTAAGTGCTCCGTCATTGAAAACAGTTGTTGAAATAACCGGGCTTTGCCTCTTTGCACGTTTTTACATTTTCATAAATGCTTTGACTTTATAACTTTATGGCCTCCATTTAAAAAGAAATTGCCAACCCGCTAATGACTATTTTTTTTAACAGTTTATCTTGTGAAACTGATACTTCTTGCAACCATCACTTACTTTCCGACTTTCACTTTCCGTGTAGTTAAATTGTACAACTTCGTGCAATCAAATAAATGAAACACCAAAATAAAAGAGCACGAAACTGCAGTCTATGAGTGTGTATTAAAATAAAGCATCGTAACATAATTTTTTCTTTAATTTAAAACAGTTCTTCAGTCGTCAACCACATAATGGTGTATAATTAACTTCATTTGCAGCTGGGTTTTATTGAATCCATGCTGTCTGCAAACTTTGTGATTTTTATTTTCTTTTATGTGTTTGTTTGTACCACTTATACTCCCTTCCTTGTTTTGCAGCAGGTAAATACTATTGCTTCCGGTGCATGAATTGTGACCTTATCTCCATGGCAATTACTTCAACTAAAAAATAAGGCTGTATAGGAAGAAGGGCTGCTGTGGCTTTAAATTTGCTTTAACATCTTTTCCTGGTTGTTTAAATTTAACACATTAAATAATTATATTTCCATCTAGTGCAGCTATATGTAGTTTTATTTTTATTACAATGATTTTTTTTTTTCCGAAAAATAAGGTACCTCCTCGTATCGTATGATAGATGATTTTGATAACATTATCATTGCATGATTATGTAACACGCAAATTGTGAGTGAGCCAAGCTGAGCTAATAAGAAGCATTTTTTTTTCAAAAAACACTATTTAAAGTCTGTGACGGTCCTGAGTCTAAGAATAACTCAACACCTAAACAACAGTGTGAAGTTAGCAATAACATACTGAAAAGGATAAACTAATTATTCATTTGTGTGTGTGGTAGGTGATCTGTGTTCTCAGCATTCAAGATGGGGGATAAAGGTGGAAAGACCGACATGGACCGTATTGGTTTATTCAAAGAAATGAGTTACATCACCATTGGCGATAAATATACTACACCTGGGCAGGGTAAGCAACTTAATCTCTCTCTCTCTCTCTCTCTCTCTCTCTCTCTCTCTCTCTTTCTCTCTATTTCTCTCTCTCTCCCTCGCTCACTCTCTCTGCAAAGCAGTTTTAAAGAGACAGTTCAGCAAGTCTTAAAATTCAGAGTTTAGAATCAGCCTTATGAACTTAGGACTAAAAACCCACATCTGCTGTTGAGATAAGTGGAGACTTCTGGGGCACCCTTGGCTGTTAGTAAAGGAATTGAAGAGTAGGCTTCTGACTTATGTCTAGCCCCAGAAGCCCAATATACCTGAAGGTGTTTTAAAAGGTCCTTTACTTTAACTCTCTTTAACTCTCTTTTCTTACCACCCACTGATTTACCCTGGCAACTTAGAACATTGCTAAACGCTCATGACGTAGTCTCACACCAAGTTGATTCAGGAAATCGGGGAAGGTGGGGGCAGGGGGGGGGGGGCAGGGAACTACCATATGATGTATTATAAAAAACTAATTATGGCATCAGTATCAGACTAAAGTGTGTTGGCCACATTTGATGCCACAGCAGTTTGGAATATACCATAACGGAGTGTAAGATACTAGGAAAAGAAGGCTGGTGTCAACTGATGTTGATCATGGTATATCATAGTTAAAGACATAAAATAAGATAATGACAGTTTGACATGCCTGAGTAAGTAAAAAAAGTAAGTAAAAATAAAGGACCCTTTTCCACGCCTTTAGGCTTATATGGCATATAAGGCTAGACCTATATTTTATAGACCAGTCGGCACAAGATGGGTTATATGGTCAGCATCATGCCGATTCCCTTTACTTCCTGGGACTGCACCCGGTACCCACTCAAGGCTGTGTTGACCTGGGAGCCAAGGTCATTTTATTTATTTGTTTAAGTCTGGCTCTGCCAAGTAGCGAAGCCACGACCTTCCGATCTGCAGCGAGCGTCTAGCCGCTGCGCCACTGCAACTCCCCCATGCCTGAGTAAAAGGTAATAAATTAGCAGATAATCTTACAAGTAATGTACGACTCCAAGAAGGCAATGCATGGACATGGCTGATATCATCAGCACTGTATGAGCTAGGCTGGTGAATAAGGACAGATCTGTGGTGCTAACACAGGTCTGGATAGGAGACAATGTTACCAACTTGAATAATCAGTGGAAGTACCATGGTTAGCTGCTGCATCAATTGACTGAGCATGCATGGGAATGCTCAGTGTGCAGTGACATCAATAGGCTATAAGTTACACCTGAATATAAATATACATATTTAACATACAATTAGTATATTATAGGGTGTTATATTTACTGTTTTACTTAAAACAATTTCTTGAAAAAATTTATTCGTTGTTTAACCTGCAGGAGTATTTAATGAACCAGCAAGCAAAGGGAAGCAGATGTTTCCTGGTGGTGGTAAAATAAAAAGCGCAAGACAAGATGGTTACTTTGATGAAAAATTCAATCGTATCTTGGAAGGGGAGGCTTACTCTGATCCTGTGAAGCTAAGACGACAGCAAAAGATTGCGGCAGCAAAGAAGAATTTGTCAAAGGCTTTTATGCCAACTAATGGTGCTAAATCAATGTAAATCTAAAGTCCAACTGTCTGTACTACTTCTGTCTATTTTTCCTTTCAAGGTTGATATGTGTTGTCTTAAGGTAGAGGAGTCGCTGACTGAATAGTTAGAATGCTCAGCTCTCATTTGATAGACAGGTTTGACAGACAGGTTTGATCCTCATGAGGGATGGAAATTTTTTTCTGTCAGGGGCAAAAAAACTCTCAACTTGCACAGTTCATGGTGACTGCACTAACTTTAATTTCACAAACACAAGAGCACCCAATCCTACATGAAATAGTAAATACAGACAATAAAGGTAGTTTTTTTAATGTAAAATGTAAAGGATTATTTGTTCCATGAGTAGGAATAATGATTATACAGTGGAACCTTGCTTAACGAGCATAATTCATTCTAGAATCATACTCGTTAAGTGAAACACTCGTTATGCGAAACAATTTTTCTTATATAAATTAATGTAAAATACGATAATGCGTTCCATGTCGAAAAAAAATACTCACAAAATGTATAACGTTTATTCAAAGAAAATTATTTACATATTAACTAAATGTTATAATTCTCTGAAATGTGACCATAAGAAACAAGAGAACAAGCAAATAACAGACAGAGTAAATCTGGGGTCTTGGTCAGTATAAAAATCCAGTGAAGTGAAACCTATGATCATTGAGAAGACCATCAAACCTGCTAGCTATTGTGTTGTCCCAAGTCACTAAAAAGATGAATTTTTCACATTTAGAGTCATTATTTTGCACAAATATGATGATTTTTGTGTGTGTGTGGTTTAAATGTGAAGGAAAGTAATCACTACATATAAGTAGAACTTTGAGAAGACTTTTTAAAATGTCAATACTACATTGTGATTTCAATGTTAATTTTAGTTTCGGAAAGAAACAAATTGATTTGTCTGTAACATTTTTAAGATCTCACGTATAATGACATCTGCCTCAAAGTCGTCATCTTTCTTTTTCCTTCCTTGCTTGACATTTGTACTATATGTCCTGTCAAATCAAACGGTTAAATGATGCTCAATCCAGACCAAGCGCCAATCATGTTCATTTCTTCGGTTCATTAATACCACAATGTAAATGACCCATCTTAGATTTCCCTGAGGAAGTGCTGGTACAGTAAAACAGTAACCTTCTGCATAGTTATAAATTTGCATCTCAAATTCATTTTTAAATTGATTTCTATGCCAGCTTTCATAAGCTAGCTATATGAAAGAATAATTCAACATTAATTTGTGGAAGCGCCTTTGACTAAACAACCTTGACCGATGTCTTATTTTGGCACAAGGTCACTAAGAGTGCGACTTTCATGAGAAAATCATGAAATTGCATAGGTTTCCTTTGACCCCCTATCAAACCAGTCATAGCGTCCATTACTTCTTGAAACGAAACTAATGAAAGTAAACCTTCCAAAAGTCTACCAAGACGGGTTCATGATAAAAATATATATCGTAAAGAAGAAAAAAAACTACATATGATATTCTTCTTTAGCAGGAAAAAATATTTGCTTTATTTCATGGATATTTTAAGGCTGCATCCAAAAATCATTGCAATATAACATGCAGTTTTCAAGAAAATGGCTTTCATTTGTCTTTATCTATTGTTGAACGTACTATAGGTCAACCAAGCCTAAAATGGGTAACAAGAAATCTTAAGGGAAGTAAGTTAATGAAGTCATAGTAAATTTGAAAGACTATAAGAATAAAATAATTATTATTAAAGATTAAATATTATTACCATAGTATTATTGTTATTATTTGTGCAATTGCTGCCGCTGCTGTAGTTATTGTTGTTATTAGAATGTTTAGTAAATAAATGCATTTATACATTATTGTTGTTGCAATGATTGTTTTTTATTGAGGTTGCTACTTGTGTAAATTTGATAATATTATTAATGTCATCATCATCATCTGCATACATCATTCTTTAAACATATTTTATAACGTAAATTATTAAATTTAACCTCCTTCCTTACATTTTTTAAAGCCTTTTTTTATGCATCAGAAGCGCATTAGGCAAATAAGGCTACTCATATTTTTGTAGACCAGTTAACACTCTCTGGGTAATGCGGTCAACATTGCACCCACCACCTTTACTTCACAGGAGATTTTCTGGTACCCATTTAAGTTTGGACTGACTAGGGATCATGGTCAGTTTTGTTTTCAAAATCTGCCCAGTGCAAATTCAAACCTCACACTTTCAGCCCAGCAGGTAAAAGTGTAGCCAGTAAGCTGCCACCCCTCCCACACTTTTTTTTTTTTTTATGACAGACTTTTAATTAAATATACCATTTACTTTTGTCAATTCAAGGAATGGATATGGGACATATTTTGGTACCATTGGAGCAGCTCTTCCAGCATTCACTCCACAGACTAAAGAGGGGAGCTCTAAAAAAGTTGGTGGTAAAAATTTCTTTACAAATCCTGGAAAGAAAGGAACTGGTTATGGGTAAATTATTATGTTTTTAGCTAATTCTGTGTACTTGTTGTTTAGATAAAGACTAATCAGGTTACATCTTCTTTATTACAGTTTTAACCTACTCTGTGCTCAGTTTTTCAGACCTTTCCTTGAATTCTTTTAGTATCAGACAATAGTGAATTGAGCTCTATATTCCCTTCAGCTGCATTAACATTCTACACTGGACCAAATATTCTTCTATAAAGCATGCTTTCAAAGCATTATTCTGTCTCTTTATATAATCTGTTTATTATATATATATATATATATATATATATATATATATATATATATATATATATATATATATATATACACACACATACATATACAAACATGTATATATACACACATGTATACATATATATACATCTGTATATATATGTGAGTGTGTATGTATATACACACATACACACAGATGATATTCCTGCTGCCTCAAGAGTTCCCCCTCTTGTTTTTTATGTGAATTATGTGTAACTAAATGGAACTAACCAGTAAAATCTCTTTCTTAAATATTTGCTGTATTCTAGACACAGCGTTACGGTCTGAAATGTTTGTAATTGTTGTGTTTTTTATTTTACCTACGCTTTGTTAATACAAAATTCTGTAAACTATAGTGCCATTTCATTATCTGATGTTCCAGTTTCTTTCTTCTAGCATAGCCCAAAACAGCATGATTACTGCCTTTTTCTGTTGTTTGTGATACTGTCTTCAGGTCTTCACATAATTCAGAATGTAAAAATAACAGCAGCTATTAAAATGACTAAAATTATTACTTGCATAATTCTTCTTTATTTCCAAACAGGTGGTGGTGGCAGTGGGGACAACCACGGTGTCGATGGTGGTGGCTGTGGTCATGGTAGTGGTGGTGGTCTTGGTGGTGGTGGTTGTGGTCATAATGGTGGTGGGGGTGGTCTTGGTGGTGGTGGTTGTGGTCATAATGGTGATCGTGGTGGTCTTGGTGGTGGTGGTGGTTGTGGTCATAGAGGTGGTGATGGTGGTCTTGGTGGTGGTGGTGGTGTTGGTCTTGGTGGTGGTGGTCTTGGGAATGGTGGTTGTGGTCCTAGTAATGGTTGTGGTCTTGGTGGTGGTTATGGTGGTGGTGGTTGTGGTCATAGTGCTGGTGGTGGTCTTTGGAATGGTGGTTGTGGTCATAGTGGTGGTGGTGGTCTTGGGAATGGTTGTTGTGGTCATAGTGGTGGTTGTCTTGGTGGTAGGGTTGTGGTCATAGTGGTGGTTGTCTTGGTGGTGGTGGTTGTGGTCATGGTAGTGGTCTTGGTGGTGGTGGTTTGGTCATGGTAGTGGTGGTCTTGGTGGTTGTGGTCATGGTGGTGGTGGTTGTGGACTTGGTGGTGATGTTTGTGGTCTTATGGTGGTGGTTGTGGTCATGGTAGTGGTGGTGGGCTTGGTGGTGGTGGTGGTGGTCTTGGTGGTGGTGGTTGTGGTCATGGTAGTGGTGGTCTTGGTGGTGGTGGTGGTGGTCTTGGTGGTGGTGGTTGTGGTCATGGTAGTGGTGGTGGTGGTCTTAGTGGTGGTAGTTGTGGTCTTGGTGGTGGTGGTGGTCTTGGTGGTTGTGGTCTTGGTGGTGGTTGTGGTCTTGGTGGTGGTTGTGGTCTTGGTGGTGGTTGTGGTCTTGGTGGTGGTGGTGGTGGTGGTTGTGGTCTTGGTGGTGGTGGTGGTTTTGGTGGTGGTGGTTGGGGTCATAGTGGTGGTGGTGGTCATGGTAGTGGTGGTGGTCTTGGGAATGGTGGTGGTGGTCATGGTAGTGGTGGTGGTCTTGGGAATGGTGGTTGTGGTCATAGTGGTGGTGGTGGTCTTGGGAATGGTGGTGGTGGTCATGGTAGTGGTGGTGGTCTTGGGAATGGTGGTTGTGGTCATAGTAGTGGTAGTGGTCTTGGGAATGGTGGTTGTGGTCATAGTGGTGGTGGTGGTCTTGGGAATGGTGGTTGTGGTCATAGAGGTGGTGGTGGTCTTGGGAATGGTGGTTGTGGTCATAGTAGTGGTAGTGGTCTTGGGAATGGTGGTTGTGGTCATAGTGGTGGTTGTCTTGGTGGTGGTGGTTGTGGTCATAGTGGTGGTGGTGGTCTTGGTGTTGGTGGTGGTACTCATAGCAGCAGCAGTAGTTGTAGTAGTAATTTTCCCCAAAATATCCTGCCCTTGGGGTTATAAAGGGAGATAAAGTGTACACTGAGTTTTCATAGTATATTTTTTGCTATTTTTATATATTGTAAATATTCATTTATTTTAAACATTGGTGTAATCTATGTAATTAGTAATCAAAATGTTGCAGTGTTAACATTTTTGGTTGTGATTATGGCGGGCACCGTACAGTGAGTGTTTCAATAAACTTAATGTCCATTAATCCTTAACATTGATGTTGGATTTCAAAAGAATTCTCTTCAAAGGTAACATCTACTTACCCTTCTATATATATGAATTGTTCTAGTAATAAATTCTTGACATTGTGATGCAGATCTCTGGATCTGTCTTTGTGTAACAAATTCCCCACCATCATAGATGATTTACACTGATTCAAAATTCACTTACTGGTTTTCTTTGAAGTTCACATTCATTATATTCCAGCAATTAGTACTCTGTATTATTGTGTTTACACTCTATAATATTGTATTTATATTATTATCAAAGTTCATATATACCTATATATATATACATATTATTGTGTCTGTATGTGTGTATATATATTATTGTATTTCCAAACAGGTATGCCAATGTTGGTTTGAATCCATACCCCCCATATAATTCTGATGAATACGACAGGTCAAGAGAGATAATCAAGGTTAGTGATACAAATACAAAAATGTTATTTGAAACAAATGAATTGAATCTTTTAAATGACTATACTAATGAAATGTTGGTGTATATTCATATCAGTCATGCTACTGTTACGTGTGTTGAAACATTGCTTGCTTTTCATCTTCTAATTACGTATGATGAATTCTTTTTCTTCTTCTTCTTCTTCTTCTTCTTCTTCTTCTTCTTCTTCTTCTTCTTCTTCTTCTTCTTCTTCTTCTTCTTCTTCACGGTGACTGGCTGTAAACTCCAGAAAAAGGTTGTCCATTTATAAACTCTAGTCCTGTTCCAGAATGTGAGTCTTGCATACACATCTGGTTAACAGGTCTGATTAAGGATTACTTCAAGAAAGGTCAACAATAAGAGAAATGTCTGAACAATTGCTAGTATCAACAGTTCTAAATCAAAGAGGATGGCAATATATTAGACACAACGGGAGGAGAAGCAGACAGATAATCACCATACAGCGACTGAAATGGGAAACAATTGGATTGAGGAAACAAGGGTGTCCAAGTGAAACCAGAAAACAAGTGCTAATGCGAGAGGTCAAAAATAGTGGACTGGATTCCATCAAAGATTTAAAAAATAGATTGTACAGAATATAAATATATGAAGGAATAGACAATAGGCCCTATATGATGTGTACAGTGTGCACAACATGATGATGATGATAATATCTGCTGAGTTAATGTGTAGAGCAGGACTATTCAACAAATTTTACTCAGGGGCCAAAATGATGAAAATGGGGATCATCTCTAGTCAGAAGCAGCAGCCCAAAAATATAAAGCCTAATAATACAAAACTGTTGACAATGATCCGCAGGCCACTTGTTAGGCTTCATGGACCAGATCTGGCCTGCGGGCTGCAAGTTGGTGTAGAGTAAATAAAGACTGGTTTTGTATCCAACAGAGAAAGCTGATCTGGACTAAGACTTCTGAACACAACTAATAAGTTCATCAGTAAATACACTGAGTTGAGTTAAGATGACTTAAAAAATTGTCATCACAGCACTTGGGACATTCCTAGGGTGACCATAAGTCAAGCTTTCACTGGGACAGTATCATTGTTAAGGCAGACCCAGAACGTCCCACCGATACTCAATGTCAGTTTGGACAGTTAACATTTTCTTCTTTAGTATTGACCCGATGGTCTGTCTCACCTAAATACAATATTGACCCAACAGTATGGTCACTTTAGATATTTTCAAAAGCTCTCCATCCCAATCTTCAGAAGCTAGAGTTCCATTTCTGATAGTACCAGTAGTCGATTTGTATCCAATTTTTCATAAATACACTGCAAAATTAGATGTAGATGTTTCCATTCTGAATTAATGTGACACGTTTCTCAATATTTGAAGAGAAGACCATTGCTAGAGAGTAAAGGAATGGTAATACACATACATACAATACATATATATATGAGAAAACCAGGTAAAGCTTTTTAAAACATACCATTATGTATAGTACTGGGAGTCTCTATTCTAGAGCTGACGGTATAAAAATGGAAACATGAAGACACTGAAGAAAACAGAGAAGAAAATGTAATGAACTGAAGGAGTAACTGATAGCCTAAGACTTCACATCATAACGCATCAAGCAACTGAGTTCAAACTAGCTCAGCTATCTTTCTAATTTTAAACTATGATGCCTACCAAGACAAAGCAGCTATTGGACAAATGAAAGAGAAGACAATGACCAATGGTGAAGCAGCCAGATTTCTTTAGTTTGCTGTGGCCAAATGTAAAAGATAAGAACATACATTACATGCTGGTTTGAATTGAAATGAAAAAGTTAATTACATATACATTGCCCCAAGCTTGAAACATGTAAATTTGATACATCACATTTGATAAATTTAAGAAAAAAATTTTTATTGCAGAAAGATGCGATAGCTCACAAGAATGCTCTCAAAGGTGGTGTTTTTCGCCTCAATATGTATCCAGCGAGTGAGTTTGATAACAATCCTTACAAAAATGAGAGACCTTTACCTCCTGTGAGAAAATGGGCTGGTGATGGTCCTGCAAAAGCTATTCAGACAGCCTTTAAGCCTAGCAACCCTGGGAAGCTGGTACGATAAACAGTTGCAATTATATTTTAAATAATATATTCTTTATTTATGACTTTTTTGAATTTTCTGTTTACTGTTATTAAAAATAAAGAGTCCCCATGTGGATTCAAGGGCCCCATTTTAGGGGGAAAGTGAATAGACCCTCTGTACCCTTAATAAATATGTTGCAAGAGGTGGGTAGGAAGTCGCCGTGGCAGAGCGGCTAGACGCTCGGCTGCGGATCAGAAGGTCTTGGGTTTGCTCCCTGGCCAAGCCGGACTTTTTTCAAAAATGACCTTGGCTCCCTGGTCGAGGTAGCCTTGAGCGTGGACCGGGTGCAGTCCTGGAAAGTAAAGGTTGCCGGCGTGATGCTGACCACATCACCCATCTTGTGCCGATTGATTTATAAAATATAGGTCTAGCCCTATATGCCCTATGTGCCTAAAGGCATTCTTTACTTTAACTTTTTTTTTTCAAGGGGTGAGTAATTTGGAGCCATTCCTTTGAAGTCAGAGTGAATCTGCCTAGGTTGCAAGGAACCAACAGTCTGCATGCATATAAGCCAGATCTGTAAAACAAATGTGCAAGCAAAACTCAAGTTCTAGAACAAAACCATAATCCAGAAGTGAAGAGCAAGCAGAACATTTCAGGGGCTGGGGAAACCAGAATGTCCAAGAGAAACCCTGAGGTGAAAACTGATGAGAGAAGCCAGATTCCATTCATGATGCTGAAGTGATTGTACAGGGTATATAACTGAACTGAGGAATGGACTGAGTTGAATGTGACAATTAAGTGCACTAAATAGCAATGATGATGATGATTATGACAGAGCAATAAGAAGACCATGCAGAGGCTAGAACGACAGCATTAAGCACTGCCTTAGAGAAATGAAGACCAGCTTATGAAACACTTTGAAATGAGCACCCAGATGATCCTTACATCTTCCCTCACAGTTGAATGATGGAAGAGAAGTCAAAAAAATAATAATAATAACTGATTCTAGTTAATCGAGGTAGTACTTGGTATAGTCATAGAGTAACTCTGGTTATAACCATCTTAGAAGGTTAAATAGGTCATCTGGCATATGTTCCTGTTGGACTGACATCAAATTTGCTGTTGTAAATAACCTTCAGGCAAGATGGGGTGGGAGAACAAGGTGGGGAGTGGTGGGAGGAGGGGGGTGTTGTATTATACAGTCAGTTAATTCTGAATGTAGTCACAAGTACTTAAACCTCTTTAGAAGTCAGCAGAACGTATACACAATCAACATATTACATATAAATACAGTTATAGAATTCCACTGCTAGATACTTGTTTAATGAAAATATAAAGAATTATAAAAAATGAAAAAGTAGAAGAGGTAAAATAAATAGAATTTAATCAAACAGAATGGAGAAATAGACAGGGAGCCCTATGTGACATTCAATGGCATAACGGGATAATGAATGAATTCAGAATGTTCTTGACACACACACTTACGCACACACACACATTTACGCATGCATGTACACACACACTTGCACACACACACATGCACACACACACTTACGCATGTACACACACACACACACTTACACACACACATACACACTTACGCACGCGCACACACACACTTATGCATGTACGCAAACACACACTTACGCACGCACACACACACAAAATGTTAATATTTCATTATGAAATATGTTTGCAAGATTCTCATCAGTAAAGGAACTGGACACCACATCTCATAGGATATTGCCTAAAAAATGTAAAGCTATTCAATTGGTATAGTATAGAACAACTTTATACCCATTGTTCTCTATTGCTTAATGTTTGGTGTTTCTTCTACATTTAGTATTTGCAATCTCCTGTGTTACCAATACTGACCTCACCTACCTCCTGTGGAGTAAACAAGGCAGGACAAGAAGGGATCATGCTGTATTAGCAGTATATGGTGTCTATAAAACTGTAAAGGATTTGTGCTACAGAGAAAAGAAACTTTCTCCCTGGCCTTAATTAGGCAATGGGATTTGATTCCCATACCTCCCTATGGCACAATATACACTATCCTCTCGAAAGGCACAAAAATTACTAAAGTTATATATTTTATTTTTTTTCGATTACATTGTTCAGTGTATTTCTTTTATTCATTGTTTAGCTTGCTGGAATGAAAGCTGGTACATTTGATCCTTACCCATCTCATTCTGCTGATACTTACGGCATCAAATATAAGAAACCTGTCCACGTTGTCAACAACAGTGGCCGCACCTTTGTTCCCCCACAAGGTCCCAAGTCAACACCATGTACCTCCATTGTCAATCAAAATGTGATGCGGTTAGTAAATGATTTTTCACCATCTAGTTATGTTTTGTTCTTTCATCCCCACCCCGTGCTACCGGTGCCAGACATGATCACTTACAACAATTCAGAAAAAACATTTGTATCTGAGGCAATGAAATGTCTGGTAAAAGGGTTCAGGAGTGACCATAAAAGATAAAATCATTAATGAAGTCTAAGAGAAGTTAACCTAGAACTAAATACTAAATTACACACAATGAGAGCAAAAAAAATGGTTTGCCCTTAGCGAGAATGCTTTATGATACCATACTGTACAAAGCATAAACAAAATGGAGGAGGATATAAAGCAGAGTGTCAAAGCATTTGCCTAATGGAGTGAAAATGTTCTGTGATCAGATCGTCTTATGCTGCTGAAGCTGCCTCAGATACATCAGTTGTCAAATAGATTAAAATAAAATGATGATTACAAATATATTCATTTGCTGCAGGGTGCCGTAACTGGAGAGCTTAACTCTTTGAGTCCTAAACAACACACGATGTGTGAATCACTCTATCTGCTGAATCCCCTCCTTAGCTCAGTAAGCTGTCTTACTATTTTATTTGGTCAGAACACACTTAAGAAATCTGGCTTGTCCAACGATCAGTATTGTTATACTACTTTGTGAGTAATGCATTGGTGAATTTTAGTCATGGATATTTCTTTTTTAGCATCTCCTATGTAACCTTCTTCTGTACTGACAAAGTTAAGCAGCTTGAGCTCCTCCCCCCCCCCCCCACCCCTCAAATTTGTAAGTGGGTAAAATTGCTCCTACCCCTAACCTTATCTCAAAAGCAATAAAAAGAAGTTTCCTTTTTAAGTTTTTGTTTATTCATATCATATTAAATATATTATTAAATATTTTTTACCATTCAGCACATTATTTTTTTCAAGTACTTAAACAAAGCTATTGGGTTGACTGTCCCCACTGCCTCTTAATTTTTCTCTGTGTTAGCACCCTTGTTTGCTTGTACTTGCTAGTTATATTTTCTGGAATTAAAAATAATTACCACTGGCTTAGATAGTCCCTAAGTAGTGTAGAGACTCAAATTTTATTTATATACATTTTTACTAACACTATTTTTACATTCCAGGTCTGTGAATGTCCAGAACTATCGATCAATCACAGTGCTCTGATACAAGTGAAGTAATTCAGTAAGATCCATCTATTTTGACATCAGCTTTCCCGCAGCATGTAGTATAACCTGCACTGGTTTCTAGGACAACTAACTCAAAAGATAATGAAACATCCTGCATGAACTAACAGCCTCAGTTGTGACTTATTCTCCAAATCAGCTTAAAGATGGTGCAACCATCATGTCCTCAAGTTGCTGATGCTAGCAGCTTTCAAATTGTCATCTCTAAAAATGAATATCAAAATGAACTTGAAAAAGACATTTGAAACATCTCTTGTTTTGATTTGTATTATTTATTTCAAGTCTATAGTCATAGTCGTAGCAGTAGTAGTCATAGTTGAGATTTTAACTTCATTGCAAAAAGGTCACCCCATACTTGCTCCTTTACTGTGTCAATGAAAATCAGATGAAATGTCACTGTCTCATTTGAAAAACCGGTGAACAAACAATTGTCCTGGCACAATCTAGAAATATGAGCATACTGTATTTGCATATGGCAGTTGCTAGAGGCACAAAGCCAACAGTTGCCACCGGAAATGCAGCTTGTTGTTGATGAAAGTACTTGGTCACAATGAGTTAGCTTTACATGCATAGAATTATTACATAAGGTATTTTACTAGCCAACACATAAACCGACCAATGGCCATTTTGAATGCTATGACTCCATCCTGCGCAAATGAAAGGCATTCTGCATGAAAAACACAGCTCACAGGGCTGCACCAAGAGCTAAACTTAGTAGCTTAGGAAGCAAAACCGCAGACTTTCATCCAAATGTTGAAACTGCATTAGTAAAGTGCTGTCAGAAGCAAAAATAACTTTGAAGCTAAACATCATGCAATGCCTAGTACTCCATTTTGGACCAGAATTCCATTTCAAGTTTGTAACATCATGCAATCAGATGATCTCATGTACTCAAATTTAAAGTAACATCTGAATACTTATTATAAACTTAAAAGCGTAAAAGTGGTATTTTAAATAAATTGTATTCCTTCATTTGTCTGTGTGTGTATTTTTGTGTCTGTGTATCATCGTCATCATCTTTGTGTGTCATACTAATAAAAATGGACAGTCATGGCTCTCCATCTCAGATGCTATCCACATTCTCTGATCAGGTCTGTGTTTTTGCCTTGCTATGCAACAAGGGTAAAATCATTCAGTTATTTATCTCCTAATTGTTCCGTGTTCTTTTCTCATCAAGTGTATGAGTCATCACCAGGTTTTGAGATCTGTTTCTCTCTGACAAAATATCTTGACTGTATCCAGTGATTGCTGCAAACATCTCTATAACATATCTGTTAGATATGACAGTTTACAGTTGCGAATGTTTTTTTTTTGGGGGGGGGGTCTTCTTTTTAAACTAATTAATGTAAAGAAATGTCTGTTTCTTTACAACATTTCTTTCACGCTATTTATAATCCTTGCAGTTAGACCTTTATATCCATTGCATAATGTTTCTGATGTTCAAAATCATGTATGTCGCTGTTTTTGGTAAATTGTCTCAATAATTCTATTTTACTTTGATTTTAAATTAGAATATTTTCCTGATTTCCATTTTTTTTCTGTTGTTTCAAATGCTTCTATCCTCTTTGGCTATTCAATATTCTTTATTACAAATGACAATGGCAAGATTTTTACATTAATGAGCTTATAAAATGTGCTTAATTATTCTCCATTAAGATTTAATAGATGCTCATTGTGAAACCAACAAGTCTTTTTCATCTCCTTTGTGTGTCCTTTAAAAAAGTGATTAGCACAATGTGTTGTTGTTTACAGTTAAGCTGCGATATCTGTGCCTTTCAGCCCCAGACAACTGATTTCAGTAAAGTGCTTACTTACTCACCTTTTACAGCAAGCTTGTAAGATACAATGAATCTACTGTTTGAATGTGCACCAGATCAAGAAAGACAGTTTTTAAAAAAAATTGTAAAAGAAGGTAGCACCAGAGCTGTTTTCTAGAAATAAAATATGTTAGTACTCACCATAAAGTGTCTAATATAAGGTTGCGGTACTCACCATAAAGTGTCTAATATAATTGGCGGTACTCACCATAAAGTGTCTAATATAAGGTGGCGGTACTAATCATAAAGTGTCTAATATAAGGTGGTGGTACTCACCATAAAGTGTCTAATATAAGATGGCGGTATTCACCACAAAGTGTTTTTTATAGTAGTGCTGGAAAAAATGCTTTAAAAGGGTGACGGTACTGCATACCATTGCATACTGCCAGAAATAAGCAATGGTTAGAACTATACTGTTTGGATGAAGTGGTACTCATTAGGTGATAGGGTCAATATCAAACTGACCCCCTTTAGTTCCCAGGACATTTCGTGGTACCAATATTTGACTGGGTCAGCCTGGGAGCAAAATTTGGTAATAAAACTTGACCTGGACAGAGGCTCGTGGAGACTTATCATAGCTGACATTCGATGTGAAGATGATACTTTATGAATTGACTTACTGATTGTAAAAAACAGCTTTTTTTTTTTGGCCTGTTGTGCACTAGGCATATGGTTCTTGAAGTATTTTTAATAGTCCAGGATGAAGCGGATGTGATGAAGGCTCTATGGGATCAAATGGTCAATGCAAAAGAACAGATAGGGAATCCATACACTGAAAGACTAATTCAACAGCGGTTGGGCAGAGGTTCTGGAAGATGTTCAACGCTGAAAGAGAAACAGGTTGCGACTGATACTATTAGCATGTCAACTCTTCGTTGATTACTGAAGAAGGGAATGGAGCAATGTGTGGGAATTTCCCAAGTACAGTGATGTCAATTCTTGATCGATTCATTCATTCATTTATAGACCAAACAGTACTTGGTGGGTGATGTACTCAACTCTACATTGGCCACCTTTACTTGCCACAACATTTCCAGGTACCCATTTTAAGCTGGGTTGACCTGGGAGCCAAGGCCAGTTACACAAAGTCTGACTCAAAGCAGATATGAACCTTTTTGCTGGAATGCAAACATTAGGCCACTGCATTACCATGGCTCTCACATGTAGTCATCTGGCTTCAAAATACTGCGATCCTAGTTTATATGAGACCATATCAATTTCCATAGTTTCCATAATTTTCAGAATGAATGTGCAGTTATACCTCTGTGTGCCTTTTGAAAGGAGAGGGGGGAGGGGGTGTCTTTGAACCTGAGAATTTAAAGCCACATGGTTAGTGCTGTCACCATGGACTTGGGGGGGAGGGGGGGGGGGGTTGGATCTAAACAAAAGCAAATCCATAACCTTGGAGAATTCGAACCTGCCTGAAAGCACAGCATTCTAACTGTTGGACTGGTCACTCCTCTATTCAAGCATAAAAGGACATACAAGTTGTATTTTTACAATGGTTGTTAATTTATGACTTTATGGCATTCATAAAAAAATTCCTGGTAAGCTTTCAGCCATTGCACAACTGCCGCTCCCATTGATTCTTCTTCTACCTTTCTTCAGTCACCATTACAAGGGCGTCTGGCATACTGTTTTGTTACAGCTACGCTGCGATATCTGCATCTTTTGGCCACACACATCTCATTTCAGCAAATCTTTAATTTGTCACTATTTATGACATCCTTGATAAGGACTGTGAGTCTGTTGTTTATCTCCCAACCCCTAAAAACACCCCCCCCCCCCCAAGTAATTGATTGAGCTCCTCTGGAATTTTTAACAAAACCTTCTGGGGTTGAAAACCCCAACCCCATATCCTCCATGCACATTTTTGGCATATCAAAAGCTCTCTTTGTATTTGAGTTGATTGTGCCTGTCAAGAATCACCTCCACTACACCCATGGAGACCCCTTGTGTGCTCCAGTTCCCTCCCATAGAAGGTACTCAAGTGTCTTTTGGGGCAGAGAGCTCATGACCTTGATGATTTCAGCCACATGGCCAGTGCAGTCGTCAGTATAGGTTAGGATTTGTATTTTGGCCTCAACCTAAAAGAATGCCTATCCATTGCTGAATATCAAACACACGTTCTACAGCTAGGAGGATTCAAATGTGTGTATAACAGAATTACATGCACTACAGCTTTTCTTTTTTTTTTCTTTATGTAAAGGTGCACTTGTAGCAATGTTACAGAGATATGAATTGTTAGTTTGGAATAGTCTAGGTATATATTCAGTATATACGCAGAAAATATAATGAGAAATGTCAAAAATGACCAGACTTGTGACAGTTATGATCCGCTCAAAATTGGTGGCAACACTATTCCTGAACTCCGCTATGCAGATGACACAGTCCTCCTTTCGAACAGCGTAAAGGGAATAGAAAATTTAATATTGTGTCTGTCCAAAAGCACAGCGAAGATCAAAATCTGTTCTTGAATTTTTAAAAAAAACGAAAATAATGTCCAGATAAAAACTGGCTGTCACCCAAAAATAACAATAAATTATAAAGAAATCGAAAATTTCACAAACTTTGAATATCTAGGCTCTATAATAAACTGCAATGGAGACTGTTCGAGAGAAATTAAAAGGAGGATGGCCATGGCAAGGCTTAAGCACCAGCAAGTAGATAAAAATTTGAATTTTTAGAGCATGCATCTTCCCTGTGGCTATGAGTCATAGACTATCTCTCAGTCCTTAAGAAAGAGAATAGGGGCTTTTGAGCTGAAATGCAATAGAAAGATTCTCAGAATATCTTGGACAAAGAAAATGATAAATATTGAAATCTCAAAAGATCTGAACATAAAGGAAGATTGGCTAATAAACAGCATCCTTTCTCAAAAGCTGAAATATTTTGGTCATATCAAGCGCCACGACGGATTTGAAAAAACTATAGCAGAAGGCATGGTACCAGAAAGGGAGGGGCAGGGGCTGACCGACACGAAGATGGGCACAGGATATAAGTGACTCCTTGAATGTGAAAGTGCATGAGGCGGGAGAACTGGCGAGAGACCGAGTTTCTTTCAGGCAGACTGTGATGAGAGCGATGTTCTGCAAAGGACCTGCTACACGATGATGATGAGGTATGAGGTAATCTGGCTATGTCCCTTCCTCATTGCCTTTTC